GATTTGGTCAGTGTTGGGGGCATAGATCGATCAGTATATCAGTTGAAAACAAAAGTGAATTTAGCATCTACAATTTGGGACAAAACGTGTTGGGACATGCATGCATGCATGCATGACATGACTACTAGTTTATAGTTGTATAAACAAGAAGCTTAAAAAAGCTTACACTTGGGCCGTACATTCTACCGCTTTTCTTGCTCTAAAAACACGGCTGTCAGCTAAACACTTTGGAAACTGAGCTGTCATACGAGTCACGTTAATGTCTGTGGTTTGCGTGACTCACATCAGTTAGGGCCATGGTATAAATTCCCCCATGAATGATACCAAATTGAAATTCGTCCCAGCAAACAAAAGTTAATGTCTGTGGTATCCGTGATTCATAGCAGTTAAAGACGTGGTAATTTCCCCACGAATGATGTCACTTGTTCAATTTAATCGTACGTGCCTTCCCCTAGGGGGGGCGCAGGTAATAAAGGCCCCGAAATAATAACCAAATTACATTCCTTCCCCTCCCGGCTTCATTCAATGTTCTCTTCAAGGCCTTAAACACCTTCATGCAAACAACATGATTTATAGAGGGAAGCTCGAGGAACAATTTAAAACTAATATTAACAAGAGTGTCTCAACAGTTTTGTCTGCTAATTCTTCATTTTATGCAGACAACCGATGATTTATAGAGACGAGGTGGAGGATGAATACTTTGACATTGGTTTGAAGTTTGTCTCAACAGTTTTATGTTAAGTGTAAATGTAAGGTAAACGTCATAAATCTGGAGAACTTTCACAAGTTAAAAATGCGGTCGCATTTCCATTGCATTTTTCAAAAAAATCCAACTTCTCGTGTGGTCTATTTTAAGCGCAAACGTCCGATCTTGAAGACAAATGTCTAAAAATAACTATTATTTTGACCATATCTCAAGGTCAACGAAGACAAACAGAAATTTCGTGCGTTTTTTTACATGGCATGTTTCCAACAACGTTCACATGAATACGAGATTCAGACAGTCGGGGGAACAAGTACCAGTTGACTCCGAGACAGCACTGAGCCCGCGGTGTTTGTTTCCGAAGTTGCTAAGCAACATGACGCGGTACATATTTGGTATCGCGACTGCAGACAACTAGTACGAGTCTAGTACTATCGAATTATCCAAAACTCACTCACGTGTTTGCATCTGTTTACATAAACAATACATAAAACGGTTCTTATTGTAAGTTATCCGTAATTAAAACAAACACGGCGAAAAATCTATTAACGTGACGTCATAAGCGTAGCTTCTTATAAAAGACCTAGCCATCTAATCAGGAGACACGTTTATATACAGTGAACTCTCTCTAAGGCGGACACCCTCGGGACCAGCTCTAGCTGTCCGCCTTAAAGAGGTGTCCGCCTTATACAGAGTTTCGTTACAGAAAAATAAGAGAAACTTAATTCGGTCGGGACCAGCCAACAATGTCCGCCTTAAAGAGGTGTCCGCCTTACAGTGGTGTCCGCTTTGAGAGAATTGACTGTAGTTCATAATTTTACTACAACAAATATAGTCGAACGAGCTTAAGCGAGCGCCAATTCTGCCCAACCAAGGTATTTTGTTTAACATCCGCTATTTGACATAAAACTACAGGAAGCAGAACATATAACTGCGAAGATCTCATTCTCGTTTCGTACTACAAAGTTGTCAAAACCTGGTACATGCCACATGGTATAAAGCAGCAATTACCCGGCAATAACCATTTAAACACAGACATGCTTCTTATTCCTATCGAAAAAATTATTAAATCTACAATAAACGTGATTTTATTAGGAAGGCATGTGAGGCGCACCTCATCCCATGTAAAATCGCGATTCCATCAATAAACCTGATGAAGACTGGTATTGGCCAGTCGAAATATTGTAACTACAGTCAAACCTCTATTAAGCGGTCACCCTCGAGAAATAGCCAACTGGCCGCTTAATAGAGGTGTTGTAAAATTTTCAATTTAAAATTTAAAGTTAAAATTTACCCACACAAGCCTATTAGCCCAAACAATAGCATTCTTACGCTGATTACATATAATATGTTGTGTTTAACGAGCTCTTAAAATAAACTGGATGTGCTCCGCTTATCGTCGTGTCAAAATATCACATTGTAATCTAACTAGGTGACCGTTTAATAGAGGTGAAATACAATAACATTAGCCAATTGGGAAGTCTAAAACGGTGGCCGCGTCCGCTTAATAGAGGTAACCGCTTAATAGAGGTCAAGTTTACAGTAAGTATGGGGAGCGATTTCCGGGAATTTGATAAGTGACTTCTTAATAGAGGGTGACCGCTTAACAGAGGGCCGGTTAATAGAGGTTTGACTGTACGCCTCTACACGTTGTTTGATCAGTCCATGCAGTAGTCAGGGCCGTAGCTAGAATTTTTTGAATGGGGGGGCAATAAAGCGAGTGCCGAAGGCGCGAGCCGCTAGGGGGGTCTGGGGGCATGCCCCTCAGAAATTTTGAAATCTAGAGGCTCGGAAATGCTATTTTGAGCATTTTCCATGAGATATTTTGTCAAAAAATCAATCTCGATTCAGTGTAAAATGACAGGTATTTTTAGTGCTTACAGCAATATTTCCGAGGTTTTGTTACCTTGATACATACCGTATATCGGCCTTAGTACACTAAACATTTTATTAGTCTGTTTCGTGTGTAAAGATGTCTCCAGTTGGATTTACGCTCCAAAATATATTTCTCAATCAATCGTAAATGTTCAAATTAGTATGGTACCGGGCAGTCAAATATAACTACTTACTTTGTTACCTAAGAAGTAAGAAGTTCTCGCCTCTTCGTTCCCCATCATCTTGATTAATATGCCGAGCAAAATCTGGGAGATGGAGTACCAAGCCCTTGAAATGTTCAATCTTGTTTTGAAAGACCCTCGGCATATATTTTTATCAAGAAGACGGCTGTTTGAACGCGAAAAAAACATACGCAGTTTTCGTTTTTCAGAAAGCATTACCCATTCTTGGGGGGGCAACTGCCCCCTTGCCCCCCGCTAGCTACGGCCCTGAGGTAGTCTCCGGACAATCGTTTATGTTATTATGCAATAGTGTCAAGATCGACCTATTCTGTCCAATATTATATGCTTTGTAAATGGTTTCAACCTAGGAGTATCAGTAGTTTGTCTAGTGTGATCGTCTGCAGTGAAGAACTGTTGTTGTATCAGTAGTTTGTCTAGTGTGATCGTCTGCAGTGAAGAACTGTTGTTGTATCAGTAGTTTGTCTAGTGCGATCGTCTGCAGTGAAGAACTGTTGTTGGTGACGGACGTTTCGACAACGTGAGTGTAAGTCACTCGACTCTAAAGATGAGTTCATCGTCTTTCCCGATTTATTTTGAGGGGAGGAGACGGATGTACACAAGGCTATTAGTACTTTGAATACGATCTTTCGAAAGATTACAGTGCGACTACTATAACCAGGTCCACGTTGACAACGAAAACCAAACCATCTTGCAGAATGGAAACAAAGAATTCCAACAGTTGTTTGAGCCAATCAGGTTTTAGTGCAATACAACGACTCAACTTCTCTTTTCTGCTCTGCAATTTGTGATTGGTTTTCAATGTCTAAAGCCTGGTTTCCATATGATCGCAACGATCGCAGTCGCAACGATCGCTGATCATATGGAAACCACTCTTGCGATCGTTGCGATCGTTGTGACTGCGATCGTTGTGACTGCGATCGTTGCGATCGTTGCGATCATATGGAAACCAGGCTTAAGTGGCCCTGGTTACAGTATTGGCACTGTAAAACAAAACATTTCTTCCGAGTACGCTTATTCATGCTACGGACTGAAAAATGTCTTTCTCATAAAGATGATTATTCTACGATGTTATTTTTAGTTTGAAACGCGGCTTTCATCTCTATCCTGAGTCGGCGTCATTAATCTTTTCGGTTTTCTGGGGAATTAAATATTGCGGAAAATGTGGGAGGGGCAAGATAACAATGTAATAGAAGGGTTATATTATTATTATAGGGGCGTTTACCCATGGAATTAAAGTACCTGCTCGATCAAAAACCAACTAAAACCCAATTTATACATCGCATTTCAGTCGCGTCAAATGTAATTCAGCTTAATTCAAGCCGCAGAAATCTCGCTGGTATTACTTGATTCGACTACGTTGTAATACAGCAGGGAAGCAACGTGTTCTATTTTGCTATTTGTATGGGCATTACGCTAATTTAAAGAGATTTCAGCCAGTTTTATAAGACTTGAATAACATTCGACGCGACTGAAATGCGACGTATAAATTGGGCTTTATTAAAAGGGAACTATCTAATCTGTCTCAGTTTTAACAAATAAAATCAAAAATCAAAGACAAAATAAAAGGATTATAGGATTATCGACTTTCTAAAGAATTTACGTTTTTTCCTCGTTGACTCATGGTTAAAAAATCAAAGCGCCCCGCATTTAACATTCTCAACGCATTTTAAGAAATACATTTAGGGATATATTACGCGCAATTATGTTTCCACTTTTCACAAGGGTTTGGGAATTGGTATTTAATTGCACTCAAAATTTTGTGGTATTTGAAGAAGACTAAACTTAGCACTGAGCCACTTTTCTAAATCAAAGCGAATAGACGAGAAAGATTCGATTTGGAGGGAAAATGTTAGATTATAATTTTGGATCGTATTAAATAAAACTGAATTTCGGAATGTTTGGTATTGAATCCGGCGTGACCAGTTACTCAGTAACACCGGCACAAACCCACAAATTCACCTTACTGGTCTCCGTATCGTTCTTATTGGTTTAGTTGAGGGAATTTGCCATTTGATCATACAGTCGAAGCTCTCTGAGCGGACACTCAGTAAGCGGACAGCTCTACTTTCGGCCGCCTTGACAAAACCCCGTTTGAACTCTCATACAAACTCTGTATTTACATGTCTAGAAAGAAATGATGGTGAATTTTAAGCTTGGTAGAAATATGAGAAAGATGTTTTATCAGTCAGTGACACAAGCTACTCGGAAAAAAATCTGAGTTCTCCCAACAGGAGTCAAACCTATGATCTTCCACACACCAGTTTGACGCTCTACCACTGAGCTACAGGAGCCTTGTGGGAGCTTAGGCTGCTAGGATAGGTTTTATCAATACATGTATGTGAGATATGAGTTCCCATGAGTCTCCTGTAGCTCAGCGGTAGAGCGTCCAACCGGTCTGCTTAAGGTCATAGGTTTAACTCCTGATGGGAGAACTCGCACAAGCTACTCGGAAAAAAATTCCGATCGCGAAATAAATCCCTATAAATCTTGAGAATTCTCAGTATTTTTTTATCATATTTTTTTACACATTCCTGTAAGCGGCCAACTCCAGTTCCGGACACTTTTTTCTGCTTCCCGATGGTGTCCGCTTACTGGAGCTTTGGCTGTATATAATTTGAGTGAATTCCCGCTTGCTGATCAGTTAGTTTATTCCCATGACCGGCATGCTTACCTTTGTATGGATATTATGATGAGAAATGAGATGTCGATCATACATTGGTAGACCTGACAGGGTTAGAGTAAGAGTACGATTACCGTACGAGCCCCTGATAACTAGCCTGCGATGCAGACAGTATCCGGTGTCAAAATCCTCGTGTATATACCGGCGGTGTAGTCTGTCTGCGACGCAGGCTACTGATAACCCGTACGATGGTGAAATGATTCCCGAGAATTCTCCACAACGGAAAAACTCTCAAAATCCTCAAGATTTCTTGAGAATTCTCGGTATTTTTTACGACCTTTCATGGTCTCGGAAATTCTCGAGAATTCCCGGGAAATAATCCCAAGAATTCTTGAGAATTCCTGGGAATTTCCCGAGAATTCGTTGAATGTTTTAGCGAATAATAATATTAGAACAAAGCGATACCTCAAAAGTAACGATAAAATTTCAAGGTTGTTAGTAATCCCGAAAGAAACGACCATATTAAATTGGCAACCTCAAACATAACTTTAATACTTCTGTATAAACTCACGACGTGAAAATAAAAGAATGACACAATCGGGGGAAAAATCTGAAGGACGTCTGAACTTCTTCTCGTACGTAAATGGTCAATAATACTCTTCTAGAGTGTAGACCTCCTAATGCGGTAAATAAATAATTATGTATAGTAAAACTGCAACTTATCCTTTCGTTCTTTTTTCAAAATAATAAAAACTGCTAATATAAAACCTTTTAAATGTGATTTTATCAAGTTGGATCGGCCCAGATATGATACACGTTTTAGCTACCCAAAAGTACTAAAAGTAGCGACCCTCAGAGACTGTAGCGGTAGTTAAAGGCTGCTAAATCCGAAAGTAACATCTAGAAAATTTACAGTATGCTTAAGGGGGCTACGTCACGGATGGTGCATCTTGAAAAAATTGGCAATTTTTTTCAAGTTAGCCGTTCGCAATCCGTCTTAATCTTGTCCATCCTCAACCATCCTTGTTCCAGTTTGGTTTATTATCACCTCTTTGGTGTTTTTCTACCTTAGTAAACAACTATTTCGAGGCCTTCTTCAATTTAAAGGTGATTTTGCACTTCGCAAAAATGACTTAAAATATCGTGACATAGCTCCTTTAATAAACAGCCAGGAGGCGTGATTTTATCTCCGACTCCGGACTGAGCGTCTTACAAGACAGATCCTTTTACTGCATGGTTCTAATCACAGTATAAAAAAATATCAAGACCTCATGAAACCTCAGTGCTTTTAGTTCTATAGGCCATCCCAATAAAATGTTTCGTTTCCCCTCGCCCTCTCTCTCGTGAAAGTGGGTCGGTCGGTTGGGCAAAAAAGAAAGAAAGAAAGTAATAAATAAGCGTGGGAGGCTAAATCGTAGCATCCCAAGCACTGAAATTTTATGAAGAGACCTTGCACTTCTAAAGGTGTTTGAAGACGTTTACAGGGGTGATTTAGATGTCAGAGTCTCACTCTGTAGAATGTATTTAAACTGAGAATAAAAACATAGAAACACACGAGAAACTGAAAGAGGGCAGGCAATGAACCGGGGAATTTTTTTTATTTTTCAATTTTCAAAAAAATTGGGTCAATCTAGCGATGGGAAACGAAACCTGATCTGATTGGAATGGCCCTACTGCAGTTATCTCTCTCCAGTTAATTAGATCAAACCAAGAAGGGCTATGAGTTATCACACAAACTCTAAGAGGAACATATTCGCATAGCTAATCACTTCCAATTTCCATCAATTTTTATTTCCGGACCAAGAAAAAAAATGATATTATGGGGAACTGTGTTATTACATTAATTTATGAGGTAAACAGCTACTGAGTATCGAAAATATATTTGTAAAATGTTTTCAGTGATACCGGAAGGCTAGTCATGTTTTACCGGGTTTTTCTCTATGGATATTTCGCCGGTTATTAAATAATTAAAAACGGACCGAGCGGAAAAATTACTATCTGTATTGCAGTGTTGTTTTTATTTCATTTGATATTCAAAAAGATCTGGATAAAAACATAAGCATCCACCTGCTTTCAAACCATTTTAATTTTCTATCAATCTAATTGACATGAGCCACCCATTTCGGTTGCGTTGCGTGTTTATTTTAAAAGCAACGAGTATTTTACTTCACAAATTAAAACCATTTCCTAGAGCTATCCAACTCTAGCTGCTCTCGGCGCAAAATGTGAGTCGTTTTTGAACAATTTCAACCAGCGCATTCCATCGCGTTGAGGCGATTTTCAAAGGTAAATCACGATCGCTTGTTATTGATGCTATGTAGCAGTTCATACCGAAACGATATCGTTTTTATTTTCGCCGATTGGTTCACGTTTTCTAGACCTCATTTTCGGTAATATTCATTGCAATATCTTTACAACACCATACTCAAGAGTTTGTTGTTTATATTTTTACTATGTCGAAAACGACGAAAACTGGCTAAGAGTCAGTAAATCAAATTTACCTACAACTGATTTAGTTTTAAACCATTTAAATTGTACCTTTTTCCTGACGGGAAGAAACAGAAGAATTCCTTGCTTCTTTCCAAATCAGCAATTTCTTGACCGCCCTCAGTTTTGGTTCGACACCGATGGTAGTGGCTTGGCTTTGAAATCACCCACCTTCACCTGTAAAATATATTTCAAACCAAGATTTCGCCTCATCCTATCAGAAAAGGTCAGTTTTAATCAGATTGTAGCCTTCCGACAGAGAAAATGAAATATTCTAACCACTATGTTGACCATATGTTGACGAACCTTTTAGCGCTGATTTGATCTAAACAGAGACACGATTTTGAGACAAAGCAATTTCGCAAACGACTTATATGTCCAGCCTTCAAAAGGGATCACAATTTTGTTTACAGACGTAATTTTCAACGGAAAAAATGCGCGACTTCTGTGTCTTTAAGGCTTTTAACTTTTGAATAATAGAGAGAGATAAATCCCATTACTAATCGTAAGTTAACTCAGCACTTTTGTAACACTTACATCATGATTTCTCTCATCTCTAAATTTAAAATATTAAGGAAGTGAACAAGTCGAGGCAAAAAATATTCCCAAAGATTTGTTTCGTCGAATTAGAACGCTTATTGGTTATATGATATATCAGACTAAAAATCAAGTTAAATTAAAGAGCACTAAAAGAAAATTTCTAGAATGGATCACCATACCTTGTAAATCAGTAAAAGATAACCTGACTATGGATAACCCATAACAATATAATATGATTCATAATATATTTTCAGAAGTGAAACGGTGTGAACGTTTTTCAGTTGAAACAAATAAAATAACTTTCTAGTAGTACTGTGTTAATCAGAGAGTCAGACAATAACTGAAAGAAAACAATAATCCTGAAGAGTCTTTTATCCGATTTCCTTTTTTCCTGACGTTCTTTGTAATTCTACCGCATTTTATTGCAACATGGCTGACCAGCTGCCTCATTGAAAATTTTTGAGGTGCAACGGATGCTGGAAAGATTCTTATACGTAAAAGCCTGAATAAATTGCACACACTGTGATTGGATAAAAGTCGTTACCATAACCCTATGGAAACATATAGAAAATTATTTCGAGAGTTTATTTCATCAGAATGAAATAGAAAACGCTATTTCCTTGTTTCTACAGAGTTTTTAAATTAAACTCTGTATCCTTATTAAAACAAGAACCCCTGAAGGGATTTCAAGCGGCCTTTTTGTTTTTGGGGTATTGTTTGATCTCCTTTTTTTCTTTTTTTTCTGTTTTTCAATTTCTCTCTGAACAGTGTTTTGTTTTGTTCATTTTTATCTTCCACAGTGTAACGTCTACGTTCAGAATATGATAAAGTTGATTGTTATGTAAGTCGTTAAAATTAAAAAATAACAATCTTATATACCAGTCAAGTGAAATGTATTTTTTTTCAGTGGTAGTAGGAACTCGTTTTTCCTCCAAATGTTGTTCTTCTTTTCTGTTGAAGGTTTTCGAACTTTTCTATTATTCAAAGAAAATTTGTCGAGTCGAGAATCTCGGTGGAGCAAAACAACACGCTTTCCAGCTGTTCGAGTTAATTGGCTCATCGCTTTCTAACTGAATAATAACAATGATCGTTTTCTTTTTTATATCTGTTGATTTTGTAATCTTTTTCGACATCAGGAAAGTATGAATCCAAACTGGAAATTCCTTGGTGGAGGAGTGGTTCAAACCAAAAAACCATCCGTTGGTGAGGTATTGATATTTTCTGGAACCACACAATAATGATTCAAAACTTTTGTAATGTCTAGTCATTGGTTTAATACCGCTGTGACTAAAAAATATACACAATAATCTCATGATATTTACAAGTATATAAAGCAATCAAAAATGCATTTACATGTATGCTGTCTGTAGGAATTATGGTGTTTACACTTACATGTAGAATTAGGTTTAATATATTGTACCCGGGCGATCGTTATAAAATTATTATAATTTTAGCTGTTGAGTTGATGTTGGAGTTGTGAAATTAGTGTAGCATATATGCACAGTAGTTTCAGTTCCAAAAATTCAAAGGTTGATATGTAAGAGATACGGATATATGATAAGGTTGATATGTTGATATATATGATAAGGTTGATATATATGATAAGGTTGATATATATGATAAGGTTGATATATATGATAAGGT